CTCATCGACAATAAACGTTTGTTTAGCTTCATCTGCCACGTAGCAGTTGGTGGTAAGTGTTTGGATTCCCACGTCGGCATCTAATCCACCAAAGAACAATAGTTGTCTGTTTATAAATGATCTAAGTTTTTCCTCTCTAAGCAATTCACCTGAGTTAGTAACATCAGCTGTGTGAACCTGGTCGGATTGCGCGCCATTTGCAGTACGGTACGTGTCGTAAATATGCATATTAGGCACTGTACTTGTAACCGTGTAATAACGACCATTTGCGGTGTTATTGCAGTTCAGTAGACTATCCTGATACTCTATCCCTAGTCCGGACTTTTTGATTTCGCGAACATTTCGTAATATAGAATTTCTTTAACATTCATGTCTTGGTGACACAGCTTCGCTTTCACCGTATAATTGGGTTCTTTCTAAAGCTGTCTTCAACGGATTCAGCTGACGTTCTGCTTTGGTTGCAAATGTCCATAAGGTGGCCTAAGGCTTTGTCGTTCTCTATCAGTAAGAGTAACGTTGTTAGAATAAGCAAAATCTTAAAAGTACTTTGCTGGATACGGGAAATTTCGCCTCTATTCTGGTATAAGGCTCTCATCGAAGTACCGTTCAATGCTGTTATTTAGAAAATTTCGCTGCAAAACAAACAGAATTTTGATCTGGAACTGATCTCAGCCCACAAACTTGAACCAACTCGTCATGAAGCATCTTACTAGGGGTCTGACCTTCCTACAGACAGAGTAAAGTCGAAATGACTCGCATTACTCGCTATCGTACGATCACTTCTTTGAATTATCCAACTTCATAATTTGTAGAATGACATATCTTGTCTTGCACAGTTAAACGTACAGTTCATCTGCTTTTTCGTTACTTAGGATCTTAGCTGCGTTGCTCGCTCTTTTCTATCACTGCAACCTGTCCTGAAAAACAACTTTTAAACTGTACACTCTTATGCAAAATCTTGTTAACCTCTGGCTTCGTATGTAAAGACATGAAAACAATATTTAAAGCTAGGCAGTCGTCATTTTAGAAAACTGAAATCTGTAGGACGTCCTGTGGTGATGCCATAACACGATGGTGATGCCTGGCTTTCCCGTAGGCGTGTAGTCAAAATATCTTTCTTCAAACAGACACTCCTTTCAAACATTCAGAGTTTAGCTACCACTGCATCAAGGTGAATACGGTCATACTCCATTTAACGCGGGAGATATATTCTTAAAACAGGAGCGTTCTGCATCAGTACATGTGGATTAACGTTCCTAAAATAATAATTTATCACCTCTTTTAAAACATAAGTGAAGCCGCTCTTCCCTCTGACACTACCTCATAAAAATATAGCAAACGTCCTTCATACTTTCAACAAAAATTTCGGCCATCCGTTGTAAACTGGAAAGATCGACGACGTGACTGGCAATCAGAGTTGCATCTTACTGCAAATTGCTGGAGTTATAGTGATTCTCCTACCATACCTCTATCTACCCTCTCATTATATCTTTGCTCCAGACTATGCTGGAATGGGTCGTTTCGGCGCCGATCTACAGTCATTGTTAACGTGCAGTTATATGACTCATGTCTGAATCCATATGGCTGAAGTGTGTGATCATCTCGATCAAATGTTACATCCAACCTACATTCACATATCCATGAGAAGCTGTTCGTGAGCACAGCGTGAAAATCTCGTCAAAATAGTGAATTTCTCAGATTTCACGCTTTATTTTATCACTTCCGCTTCTACTTGGAGATGTTCATTATTTACATATAAATGAACAGCTTCTAGAGAATTTCGATAATCGCAGTTTTGTTTTATGCCCAATTCTGTGAAACGTCATTTCGCCAAGTCAGCCACTATGATGTATACAATTTCACTACACCTAACTCTGTGGTTTCTCCGAGATATTTCATTATGCTGCATATGAACAGAAAGCCTGAATGAGAGCAAAGCACGAATTTACTGTCAAATCTACGAATTTCCAATACTTCTGTTTCATTTTATTGTTACATGTTATAAGTACACAAGGTCATTAATTCGAAGCGCAGTAATAATGTAACCAATGCAAACTTATACTGTCTAGACAGATCATTTCCACTAACACGTTTCAACTGCTGTTAATATTAAGCACACAAATTACCCCAAACTACGGGAAACGCGAGCCATCGAGTGTATCGAGGATGTGCGCAATGCTGCTTTCAAAACGAGAGCGAGAGAAGTCTTTGTCTGAGAGATTTTGTTACCACTTTGACAAGAATAGTTCTGACGGAACACAGAAATTTTGACGACACAAAACAAGGATACACATAGCAGACACAAGAGTTATCATGAAGATTTATGAAGATTCACATGACAGTTCGGCGGCAGGTGTGGAAGTAACAAAACTTGTGACGAAGGTCAAAAGACATGTCGAGGAAAGCTTAGAAACGCTCATGCAAATTATAAAAGAGTTGCTGATAGGAGTCTCCCAAGGTTCTCAGAGTTCTCCTCTAAATCTTCGACCACTTAAGAATGAATTAAGTGAATACCGCTCCACTGGCTCCCATGAATCTAGAGACCCCACTTCTGCCGGAATCATATAAACCATATAAAACGATTGAATGATATATGATAATAAATCATAAATGATATAAAGTGACTGATTTGCAACGAGGTATCTTTGAATCGCTCTTGATTGGTGACAATGGACCTGAACCCGATCGAATATAAAAGTTGGGCACTAGGGAAACCTGGAAGTTTGGCGAAAATTACGAATGTTGTTTGCCAATGGAACATTTCGACCCGCACCGCCAATGTTCTTTCAAGTTTATACAGTGCTGGTAGAAAGGTTTGGTGGAGTATAAGACTTTCTGCTAGAAAAACAGACAAAAACGTACAACATGCTCTTTTCGATGCTAATTGCAGCTGTAGCGGAACTTAATCCAAATTCGACTTATTGTGATTTCGAAGTAAGCTTACTTAGCCTAGCACTAATGACGCCAAGGCCTATGTGACTAAACGCGTCGTCAATAAACTGTTCTTACATCTGCTGTATTTGGTGCCTTAACCTCGAATCATTTAAACACCTACTGAAAGAAAAATTCATTTCTTACTTTACGGCGATGTTGCTGTGGTGCATGACAGATGAAAATCGTATACTACGTAGTATCGCAATACTGTATTGCCCCTTTGCTTCTAGTAACTTAGGGGATTACTTAAGCAGGCCACGACTCCATGATAAACAATAAAGTAAGAATTAGTCTGAGAACAACCAGCGTTATAACGTATTGGTACACACTTATACTATAACTGTTAAAGAGAATAACAATAACCCACTGGCTTACAAGTTTAATTCTTTCCTCAGTAAAAACAGAAATACGGGGAATAAAAACAAAGGAGATTAAGATGATGTCCAAGAAAGAAACGGGGAAGTAAAAAAGAACCAAGTGGAAACAGCAGAAGGAAAAAACTATATTCGTTTCTCTGTATCGTGAGAAACAACCGCAAGGGCAGTAGTCGAAAAAGTGCCAAATCGTGGGTTTACTAATGCACAAACCACAGAAAAAAGCAAAATTATATAATGAGTTTGAACCGATTCTACTCTACCTCGAATTCTCCTAAAAGGTTTGTTTCGATATGATCATTTAAAGCTTCTGGATGAAAATCAGATGATCCTGGAAATTG